CCATCCTTTCTTTCCAAAAGGATACCCAACAAAAATACACTGTTTGCTCCGACTGACAAATTTATCCCCTCCATGTCTATGATTGTGCGCATATGCTAAGCAACCAAAAACTCGCACATTATCATAAGAAGAAGGTTGCCCAAATAGCATTTCATAGGGAGTCTTTCCTTTCAACAGAATGGATGGTGTTCGATTGCTCAAGTAACATGCAGTCAAGACACATTCCCCCCAAAAATCAATAGGCAAGCTAGCTTGAAAGTGCAAGGCTCGGGCAACATTGAGTATGTGGCGGTGCTTACGTTCAACCCTCCCGTTTTGTAGAGAGGTTCCGATACAAGTGGTTTGATGAATAATACCACTTTCAGTAAAATAACTACCCAAGCAGTAACTCAGTCCCACTATCAGTAAGGATCACCTTTACAGGTTTGTTAAATTGCCTTTGAACCATAGCAAAAAAATTTCGAAGAACTCGTCCCACTTCCATCTTATCAACTAGAAGATAGATCCAAACGCCTCTAGAAAAAATCGTCTACTATGGTCAAGAAATAGTGAGCACCACAAGAGGCTGCAATTCTATACGGGCCCCATAAATCACAATGAATTAACTCAAAAATATCGGATGCTTTATTATTACTAGAAACAAATTCTTCTCGACATTGTTTAGCTCGGAAGCATGCATCACAACCCTTAATACTGTCATCATTATTATTCTTAGTGCTAATAAAAGGCAGCAACTTAACAATTCTATAAGAAGGATGCCCTAACCTTTGATGCCAAATATCCCACGTTCTGCTCTTTGTAGTCTTCATTGCTCTTGTTGATGTAATGCTCCAGAAATAATAGAGTCCCTCTCTCTGCTCACCCGCTCCAATCAGCATCCTCATAGTGCGGTCCTGTATCACACAGAATTTATTAGTGAACTGGACAACACAGTTCGATTCCTCAATCAATTGCAAGACAGAAAGTAAATTGCAATTCAAACTAGGCACATATAAAACACTAGTTAGTTTCAGATGATCGTCCAGTGCAACTGTGCCTTCTTTCTTAGCTATTGTCGCTTTCCCGTCTGGTAGCCCGACAGAGCACAGAATGACATTCTTTATGTCTCTCATTGACTCGAGGCTTCCTGTCATATGATGAGAGGCCCCTGTGTCTATTATCCATTCTGACAGTTTTTGCTTACCACTTAGTCGTTGACTCCCCTCTTTCTGTGTGTTCAGAAGGTTGAGTAATTTGTTCCATTGCTCACTACTTAGTCCATTTATCTCAGTCTTGGCTGCATCAATTGATTCTCTTTGAGACGCATTGCCTTGCGCAGAGGCTTTGGCTGTATTGGCCTTGACTTGGCCGCCACGTCCTTTTCCGCCTGCCCCTGCTCCTTGTTTTTGTCCACCACGTCCTCGGCCTGTTCCACGGGCATTATTCTTCGGCCGATCGCCCCACCATTCAGGGTAGCCGATTAGTTGGAAACAAGACTCTGTATCGTGGCCTGCCTTGTTGCAGTGAGTACATACTACGTTCTTGTCTTTGCCTTCGCTTTGCCTCTTCCCTACGTGGGCTGCGAAGGCCACAGTTTCAGTCTTCTCTTCCTTTGCTCTAGTCATGGTTTGAACTTGCTCCTCTTGAATTACTATAGCATAGGCTCGATTCAAACTTGGCAAGGGTTCTGTACTTAGTATATGCGAACACACACCTCCATAGACCGTGTCGTCTAGCCCCATCAAAAATTGATGAAGTTTCTCTTCATCTCGCTTCTTATCCCATGCCTTGCTTATGTTGCAGCTGCACTTTCCACATTGACAAGTGGGATATTGCTCATAATTTCCCAATTCCTCCCAAATCATCTTGAGTTTCCCATAGTAATTCAGAATTGTCATTCCTCTTTGTTTGCAATTTGCCAGCTCGGATTTGAGTTGTTGAACTCGTGGTCCATTACCGACAGAGAATCGCTCCTTTATGTCGTCCCAGAGTGTCTGCGCAATCTAAGTGTACGTTACGGTTGAACGTAAATTAGGTTCTATCGTATTCAGAATCCATGACACAAGCATGGAATTCACCATCCACCAATCTTCCAATTCCACCGAATCGTCCGGAGGTTGCTTCATCGATTCATCGATGAAGCCGAATTTCTTCTTGGCTCGCAACGCCGTTCTTATTGCTCGAACCCATTCATCATAGTTGTTGCCTCTAAGATAGATCTGTGTGATAATGCTGCCTGGATTGTCATTGGTTGATAGAAGGTAGGGCGAGATCACATTCCTTGTCAATTGACCATTGCTCTGTTCTTTTTCTCTGTTTTCGGCCATCGATGGGCTGATGTTGTACTTCACAAGTCTTGACAGAAATTCAAATCCCAAAAAAATAAAAAAGGGAGTTGAGCTTCAGAAATACCTTTAGTCCTTAAAAAAAAAACTGCTCTTCGGATTTGGGATTGCATTGACCGAACTCGCGAGTCAGTCCTTATAAAAGCTGCTCGTCGGATTTGGGATTGCAACCGAATTCGCGAGTCATCCGCAACCAACCTCTTCTGAAGCTTTTGCTCCAAAAAGAAGGTGATCGCTGGTAATAGATCGCTGCCGCTGGAAAGAGATCGCCTACTAGTAATAGATCGCCGCTGCCGCCGTCGGAATGAAACACGACCACTGAAAATGGATCGCCGCCGCTAGAACGATTCCCGCCTCTCAGTGTTCGCACCATTGGTAGCAGATCGCTGGTAATAGATCGTTGCCGCTGGTAAGAGATCGCCTACTGGTAATAGATCGTCACTGCTGCCACCGGAATGAAACACGACCACTGGAAATGGATCGCCGCCGCTGGAACGATTCCTGCCTCTCAGTGTTCGCACCGTTGGTAACAGATCGCTGGTAATAGATCGCTGCCGCTGGAATGAAAGACGACCACTGGTAATGGATCACCACCGCTGGAACGAAAGATGACCACTAGTAATGGATCGCCGCCTCTGGAACGATTCCCGCCTCTCAGTGTTTGCATAGCTGGTAACAGATCACCGCTTCCACCGCCGGTTGCAGTCTTGGTAGGACGAAGGCGAAGATCGAACTCTATGGAAGATGGAGTCTCGAATGGGATCTGGTGTGCAGAGTCTCTCCTTTCCCGGCACCGAATATCATCGCTGCCACCACTGATCTCCAGAGGTCTTGGAACACAGACCTCTCGTGGCTCTGATACCATGTAAAACCGGAGCTTTTCTGGTTTGTTTTTCTTGTTTTTCATTCATTGAGGATTCAGATATATATATATATATATATAGGCATCGAATCTCCTAAGTTTATAGGAACTCAAACTCAAACCTGTCTTTCCTATCTCAACTATACAAGATAAGGATTAGAAGAAAACGGAGACTCCTACTCCTAATTCGATCCTAACTCAGCGGAGTCTCCTAATCCCGGAGACTCCTAATTCAATCCTAACAAGAAAACAGCGATATTGCTTGGTGTGCAGATTGGTTACAGAGTTTCCTTGATTTTCCTGAAAATGTTCCTACCCAGAACAATCAAGTAGAGAGTAGTAACAGTGGTGCCATGCCATTTGATGATAATACAAAACCAAGTGATTGGCAGGAATGGGCAGACCAATTAATCAGGGATGATGACCCTTTGACCTCAAATTGGAATGAGCTTCTTGCTGACAGATACTGAACCAGAGGTTAGTTTTTTTAATTATTTATCCAAAGGTATTGCAGTATGTAGGGTAAAGGTTATAAATCTTCTTTTCCTATCCATTTGTAAAAAGAAAAAGGGGTACTTGTGGAACTCATGTCTGTCCTTTATTTTCTTCTGATTTTATTTAGACAACAACTCATGTTCGATTCCTTTTCTGGTCCTGTCCGCGAACCAAACACACCCTCAAATCTTAAGTCAATTAACTACCTAGGCTATTCGAGTTCAAATAAAACTCAATTATTTGTAAGACGAATTTGAATGTTCAGCAAGTCGAGCTCAAGTAGTTCATGGGTAGTGATTTGCTTACACACCTAACCATTATCATCTTATTTTTATCCCAATTAAACGGGGCTTTAATGGGGGTAGTTACATGAATTTTGTTTTGCCATTTCCTTATGTTTAATACCATGTCTAAATTATGGGCACTTAATTTATATTTATTTGTAAAATATGTAAACACATTATTATTTATAAATACATTATGCATTAATTTATAATTAGTGAAATCATGTGCATTTTGAGTTCATACGTAAGCATTTATATAAATTATTTAGAATTGCATGGATTTTACATCTCTTAAAATTATCTTTACGAAACTCTTAAAAGACATGACGGGAGTCTAAGCAAACTACTTACTATGACACCAACAAGTGGTGGCTCGGTTGGCATGTTAGCTGGGTAGTTCCAATAGAGACATGGTTTTGAAACCAATGATCTCAAATTTTGGCACTCACAAGAATTCAAACGAAAATGTAATACCATAATTCCAAAGCTTCTCGAAAATTTTGGTGGATTACCTCATCCCGTCAAACGAAAATGTAATACCATAATTTCAAAGCTTCTCAAGAACTTTGGTGGACGATCTTATCCCAACAACTGATCTCACCTTATATTATTGACTTGAACGTCAGAATGCCCTGCGACGATCATCGTCATTGTCACCCTTCGGATTCTCTCATCAATCATCATCAACATAAACTCTTCTAAATCACAACGGTCCTCTCTCTCTCTTAGTTTCAGGGATTCGAGTCTCCCACGGGGATGGGGATCGGGGTCGGGGATGGAAAATGTACTCCCCGCCCCGTTGCCATTCCTAGTTGCATATCACCTTGATTCTACCTTCGCCTTATCCAATTGGTAGAATATTATTGAGTCTTTGATTCATACAACATCAAACATCTGTTTGCAGAGATATTAATACAGAGGAGCGAGTGTAGTCAGTGTAGAATGTATACTTGTATAACATTATTCATCTTTTACCAAAAACCGTATTGTTATTTTTTTCTACGCAAAAACCTCCCTTAATTTTTGAGATACTTCTGGTTACCGCCTTTTCAAGGGCACGAACAAACAAGGAGAACATCCGAGATTGTGCGGAAGAAAGCAAACCATGAGCACTTGAGCAGTAGTAATCTAATCTAATAGTAGTATCAGCAAATGCTACTCAAGCCTAATCTCTGTGCGTCGCTACGCTGCGCTCTATGCTCATCTTCCCCTTCACGTACTGTACAGATATGTGCCTTTTCTTCATCTTCTTCTTCCTGCCAATACAAACTATGTTCTGGCCTGCAAAGTTGGAGAGAATGCTCACTGAACGAAAACCGAAAATGGGGATCCAAAGGTCCAGAACCACCACCACCACCATCCATCGAAACCGACCACGACCCAACGGCATCGGCCTCGTCTCTGGCCGAGCTCGGAACCCTTGTTCTCTCCACCGGAGACCCCCTTGCCAAGTCGAAGCTCTCCCATATCGCCTACTCGAGATGGCGCTCTGGGAATCTCCCGCTTGGAGTTTCTACACCGCCCGACCGACCTGCTCGTCCACCTAAACCCTATCTGGTTCGTATTCCCCGTCTTTTCTGTTTCCTCTTTAAATAAATTAATGTATAGGAAGCAAGACAAAAACCTGCTTTAGATTTTCCGTATAGACAATCTTCTTTCTTTCTATGATATTACCAATTTAACTAAAGTAAGAGAACATTTTTTTTTTTGGATAGTGGAGAAATAGATGCATTTGTTTTGAATTTTACTGTTCGCTCATGGACGAATGCAATCACGACATGGCTTATAGGATTATTAGTTTCTTGTTAATGGATTGCTTCTTTTAATTTTATCAACACCTACAATAAAGCATTTGATAATTTCGTTATCTGGGTGTTCACTCAGGTGTCCCCAAAGGAGATTCCCTCTCCCAAGGACTCGGGCTTGCCACTTAATGCTTATATGCTGCACAATCTCGCGCATGTGGAGCTAAATGCCATTGATTTGGCATGGGATACGGTTGTCCGGTTTTCTCGTTATGGTGACGTACTTGGGGAGGGATTTTTTGACGATTTTGCTCATGTTGCCGACGACGAGAGTCGCCATTTTGCTTGGTGTTCGCAGAGGCTGGCTGAGCTTGGATTCAGGTAAGGAAATTTTGTTGTTGTGCCATCCCAATAACACATGCTGGTTTCTTGTTTGTTATACTGATTAACATCGAGTCTATCAATAGTTATGGAGATATGCCTGCTCATAATTTGCTCTGGAGGGAGTGTGAGAAATCATCAGGGAATGTCGCTGCACGTCTGGTAGCCATTCCACTAGTTCAGGTAACCTCATGCGCTAGAATGAAATTCCATCTTGAAAATTGGGATTCATTTGTTTGGGAATTAGAAAGTTTTTATTTAGAGATGTATTTCCTAAACCCTATATATTTAAGAATTATGATCCACAAAGGCACTTGAGAAGTAGAGTTCTGTAAACAAATTCTAAGTTATACTGTGCTTTCTTTTGGTGAAGTTTTGCATTAATTTTCAAGCTCTGCTTGTTTTGATATTAAGGATTGTCTTAGATCCCATGCACTCGAAACTAGAGGTGCAAGTCAGGCACCCGACTTAAAGAATGTACACAGCATTAGACTTGAGCCCTCAGGCCAGAGCATTTGAATTATAGCAAATGTTAAAACTGAGCCCGCCCAAGTTGTGATCGTATTCTAAACTTGAATATATCATATAGCATTAGGCTTTTCTCCACTTAAAGTTCTCAAATGGTTCTCATTCTTTTCATGAACTTCATGTTCCTTCTATGCCTAGAAAAAGTAGTCGACTCTCTACTGACTGTAGTGTCCTCAACTATTAGGTGGCCCTACTTTATGTAAATCTGTAAAGGGCCATTACTTTTTTTTGTAACTAGAAATTTCATTAAAGAGAACAGGGAACAGACAGAATGAACCAACATAAGACAAAACATCACCAACCTGAACTCAAACCACAATCAAGAAACAACAAATACAGACATGGAACACCAAACTACCAACCTACTCCACTCCCTGAGAAACCACAGAGGGATAGGCTGAAACATTTGCGTCCAACAGACCAACAAACCAGCTCGAGGAAGAGTGAAGAAATTCCCCAGACTCACCATAACTGAGGACTGTCCCTGATGATTATCGCAGTTATCTGGGGTCTTGGCATCTGTAGGCTGGATACAGACCTATCCTTTGTCATTACTTTTATTTACACCAAGTTGCTGTTCTTAGACTAAAACCTGTGTTCTCATAATTGTCAGCCCGAAATTTTACCAATGCATCGAGCAGAGGTCCCTTACTTTATGTAAATCTGTAAATCACTAAAATTACCTTGGCTCAAAATCCTTCATTCTTTGTTTTATTGGTGTGTATTCTGTAGGTTCCACAATTCTTTCCATGCTGATTTCTGACTTACTAAAGGAATTCGGACTGGTGCAATACACCCTCATAACTTTATGCTTTCTAAAGTCCAATGTGTCTTCCTTTCCATACCAATCAAGAACAAGTACATACTTTTGTTCTTTTCTATTTGTTTTGATATCCTTGTTCTTCCTTGATCATTATCATCCCTATGTTCTCATGGAATTAACTTCCTAGAAACAAATTTCTTCAGGATGTCAGTAGAGATCTAATATGGTATGACCTTTCAACCAGAGTCCCAAACAAGGCTTAAAATAGAAGAAGAGAATTTGTCCATCTTGAGAAGACAAATTAACTAAATTTGTTGTGATTTGCAGCATTTGCTTAATTGGCAATACCTAATGCAGTTGAGTTACACTCCTTTTAGTGATTTTATGGTTTTCTTTCAGCTTATGTCTAACTCTAAACTGGATAGCTTTATAATGTCGTATCATTTTTAGGAGGCTAGAGGGCTTGATGCTGGGCCTCGTCTTGTGCAAAAGTTGGTAGGTTTTGGAGATAATAGGACATCAAAAATTGTGGCCAGGATTGCTGATGAGGAAGTTGCACACGTGGCAGTTGGTGTGTTCTGGTTCATCTCAGTCTGCCAGAAAATGGGTTGCACACCTTGCACCACTTTTAAAGGTTTACCTTCACTCCTTCAAATTACTGTAAATCCCCTACGACAAATTCCTATATGCAGGTTGTTGATTGTATACAGTTTACACCTTTGTCCTCTAGAGTTAATAAAGGAGTATAATGTGGAATTGAAGGGCCCCTTCAATTATTCTGCTCGAGATGAAGCTGGAATTCCTCGTAACTGGTAAGAAAAGTTAATTTGTGATTGGAGTAGATAATGCAGGTCAGCTAATCTAACTTGGGTAATTATATGTACCTTCTAGGTATGATGGATCATCTGCAGAAAATCATGACGAGAATGAACAGCTTTCTGAGGTATGCTACCAAGGGAAACTAGAATTTTCTATAGGATTGTTGTGATGCTAAATTGCAGGGTTTCATTTCTCAGGACAAGAGTTTGAGACCTTTGTTGTGGCAGGTCTATGAGAGGCTTGCTTGCATCATCTCTATGGAGAAAGAGAACTCCAATTTGAATGGTGACCCATGAAGAATTTCTGGCTTACCTGAAGATACACATAAGATCCGTCTTCCTGCAAATAAAGTGATTTGGATTTTGGAATGAATTTTCCAGCTTGATTGTATGGTGTAAATCTGGGTTTTATGTGCGGCTCTGCTGGCACCAGAACTAATCTGGAGATCTACCATTCCCTGCTGGAGTGCTGATATTATTAGTTCATTGATAACCTATGAAACCAAGAGCACTGGTCTAAGTTCCGTTCTCATGTAACCGAGAACTATAGCTGTGTTGGTCTGTTATATAGGTGACCACTGTTCTGGATGAATAGTGCCTTTTTTAGCAGTTGTGCTTGTGGTCCACCAATCATTATGCAGAGATTTTTTTTTTTTTTTTTTGTTAATGAAATGAAAGGATCCACTAGAAACATCAAGGATACAAAAGGAGCCCCCTTTTACAGAAAGGAGAAGATGACCTTGGGGGGTAAGTTCAGACAAAAAGGATGAGTTCTATTTACATTTGCCCTCTTAGCTAGATTATAGGCATTAGTAACATCATTCCTACAAACATAGAGCAGATTTATGTCATCAAAAAAAGAAGATACTTGATATGGTCCAGAAGTGTATCCATTCCATCTAATGTTTTTGTGGTTCCTTCCCTTTATCTTCATCAAAATATCTTTAGCATCAGAGATTAGAGTGGTTTTATGAATCCCCAAGAGAGAGAGTTCAGCTTCTGAGGCATCACTTGCATGGCATTGTTGTCCTTCTGCAATGCAAACATTATGAGTATAAGATAAAAGATAAAGCCCTGTAGAAGCTGTGTGGGTGTTAGTGTTCCAAGAGCCATTCACTACAGCTAGTGAGTGAGAAGTGAAGGAGAATCAATAATCAGAGAGAGAATCAGTAGTACTGAGAAAGACCCAGCTCGAGGAACATATCCATTGGCTCTTAAAGTTACTAAAAGAGGATCTGGTCTTATGCAGAGGTTTGTAACTTTACCATCTCATCTTGTTATAATTTCTACCAATAGATAATTGGACGTGAAAACTTCTGCCCCTCTCTCATACTGACTTACTGAGGGCTGGTCAAATTGGTATCTTTAGTTTTTCTTTTGTTAGTTTGCAACTTATGCATTATTTCTTCCAACTAACCTATGCCCTATTCCTTTTCTCCCTTCCCCACCTAGGAATTTTCTTTGCAAAGCATCTTTCTTTACAGCCATCTGATCTGCTATCTCGCTATCTCTATGAGATCATCTAGATGAGGTTTTGGATATAGATCCTCTCCATGTGCAAGACTTTTTGTAGCATAATACACTCCACTAGCTAGGAATCAGTATAAAGCATTTTATTTGGCGAATCACCGTAAAACATTGCTTAGCAGCATCTCCCAAGTCCCAAGTCCCAAGTCAGATTTTTCAGCCTTTGTAAGCCTGGTTGTGGTTACAACTATGGAGAATTTGGACCACCCCTGCTGCCATTGCAACCTCTGGCTCCGAGAAGGATGATTCGAAGAGAAAAAAAGAGTTGATAATTAGAGCTGAGAGGTTGGATCTTTTTACATCTTTTCCTTTTATTCTTTTTTTATTGTTCCACAGGTTTCAATAATTTTTTGATTTTATTAAGCTGGGAGTACTTATTTCCAGGTTTCACAGTCAATCACACAACCATTGCGTTCAGCAAATATGAATTATTATAGTTGGGATAAGGCTTAGATAATGATGTGGTTCTTCATTCTAAGTAGGCATGTGAATGAGCCCAGATCTCTTGTACTTCCATTCGAGTGTTGAATCACATCCAGTAATGGAACACTTGATTGGCATTCGGCCTTGTATATAATATATAAGCAATGAAATGCAGGACTCAGGCTGCATTTGGCATTCCTTATTATAAGGATTTCTCCTTTTCGTAGTTAAAAATCGAAGTTCATAGAGGCATTTTAACAGCAACAAGGAGATTAGTTTTTAAAATAAGGAATGCCAAATGCGGCCTCAACTTTGTTCTTCTCTTCTTTGATAGGCAAGTGATCAACTTTGCTTGTTGGTGTACAGAATCTCATTGTGCAAAAAGCGGTTGTATATTTATTGTTTTGATATTTCATATGGGTTGAGATTTGCTACCAGCAAAACACTCCCAACACCGTCCTAGCAGATCATTGCAGCCATACATCGAAAACATCTTCCCGTCATTCATGGGGAGATGTTCCCGATATAGGGCTGCAATGGCCTGTTGGAATTGTTCTGTATTGGTAGTTGATCCCAACTCATCTGATACTTACTTTTGTCCCATCCGATCAAACTAATTAAATCCTTTTATATTCTTATTAGTTTCTTTACATGTACCAAAATTTTAATTTTTTTTCCAATAATTAAAACTTTTGGTTGAATTCCTAATATTTTATTGGAACTGCTCTTTGCTCCAAACTTTCAATCAAACTTATCAATATCCCATTATAATTATTTTTGAATTTTTAATTCATCTATTTTTTGTCCTTTACTTTCACCCATCAATCCTTGCATGTGGAGGGCCTACGTAATAGTGGAAAAATCTATACTCTAGTCTACGGATTTAGTGGCTGTAGATTTAGATGGGTCTTGGGCCCAAATATTTCGTTTAGTTCACCCTTAGATGATGGGATTCACTGTGAGATGACCCATATCAAGAAACCAACTGTCTTGAAAATCAATTTGAGTATTACCATAACGCTTCTTACAACTCTTATAATAAACTTTTATAAAGGGAGAAATTTTACATTATAGCTCAAGAAAAAATAGGAAGAGAAAAATGTAATAAAGGTAATATTGCATTATGCCATTTTTTAGGCAATGAACACATTGCACAGGATGGTATGGCCTAATATCATTGCAGCCATTACATGGATTAGCAAATCTACATGTGAAAGCACATGGCACTTATAAATGATGATGATGATGATGATGATGATGATGATGATGATAGTAATAATATATTTCTAAAATTTTTTACAAATTTTATATTTTTATATATACAAAAATAATTCTTATTTATCACATTATTTTTGTTTAATATTATGAATATATAATAATAGAGATGTGTCCAAATGTCTTTTATAAAATTTTAGTATTTTTTGTAATCATTTATATTCATATCTTTTTAAATTTTTATTATTTGATTATAACATCAATGATTGACACATCTGACCCAAAAGGATGAACCATTAATTTGTCATCAAATAGGAAAACAATTTTATTTTGGGTCAATTTTAAATTCAATCCTCAATAAAAATCATTTATTTTTTTATCAAACTTATTCTTCTTTAATATGATTAATATAAAATATAAGTGATATATATACACACACACATATATATATATATATATATATATATATATATATATATGTATATATGTATGTATGTATGTATGTATGTATGTATGTGTATGTGTGTTTAAATCATTTTTTAAATTTTATTGTTTAATTCCAATAAGAAGGGTTGATACATTTGACCCAAAAGGTTGAACTGTTGATCCACCACCAAATAGGAAAACAAATTCATTTTTTGGGTTGGTTTTAAATTTTATATTTCATTTCCAACATCATAAAAATAATTTTATAAATATTTTTTTAATATTGTTAATATGAAATATTAAAGATGCACACAAATTTTTTATATTTTTTAATTTTTTATATTTATTTCTATTTTATGAGTCTTATTAATTAATTATGACATCATGGGTTGAACCATTTGGCCCAAATAGTTGAACTTCTTATTGGACACCATGATCGATTTTAAAAAATATGGATTTTATATTATAAAAAGTACTGAATGTAAATCTAATTGATGAAATTTATTGGTGAGAAAAAATAGTTTAAATATAGGAATTAATGAGAGAAAATGGAACTTAATAACTTAAACACAAGACTTAATGAGAGGGAATTGAATGAGTTGAAAAATACTAGTTTAAATTACATTTTTTGCTCTCACAATTAGAGAGAGACCAGATTCAAAAATAAGTGTCAATTTTTTTTTTTCTTTTTTTTAGCCCACAAACAAAGTTTCTATTCATCACATAAAGATTACATCTCATTGAGCACCAGAAACCTTAAAAAATTTAAGATGTCAAACCAGGTCATGGAACTGTTATGCAAAATAGCGTATTGTGCAAGCCCATGGATTACTTTGTTATAAGAACAAGATGTATGAACAAATATAGAAGACCACCGAAAAGCTTTCTACTATCCAAGATGGTAGCTTTAATATCACATTCAATAGTTTATCTTTCACACTGTCATTTGTACTTTTTTAATAATTGATATGAATATAGATCATTGAGACATTGAAAAACTATATTGATAGGATTTGAACAAGGTCTCTCAATCCATTTTAGAATTTTGTGGGTTTTGAATTTTTAAAAAGTAAAATATCAATGAGCCCATCCCATTATGTATCTTAAAATTGTGATGTTGATACTTTGAAACTTGGGTGAAATTCAATTCATTCATTAAATATTAAATTATTAAGAGATACAGTTCTAAACATTTCAAGACAGCAATTAGCCATCCGATCGATCCTGGTTAGAAACTGATGAAGGAAGATTTGGCCCGACCTCGCAATCACTCCACGTGGCAAAAATGAATAGCTCAGCACTTAAAACAGCGCACCTAGGGCACAAGCACCATAGGGAAGAAACCAGCAGTCCGAACTCCCTTTGAGGAGCCCGACCTCCCTACTAAGAGCTCGAACTCCCTACGAAGCCTGAACTCTCCCTTAGGCCCCGAGCCACACAAAGCAGTGACCCGAACTGGCCCGCCTCATGGCAGTTCGGGACACTCCCCTATCCGAACTCAAGACTTCACCTCGCACACCACTCCAGCACTTCGCCTCCAGGACGCCGAACTAGACAAACCACACCGTACTTGACACTGAAGGAGTCTGTATCCAGGGGCGGTGCACCTGACTGACTTGGGATCTGACGCTTGACAGCCGCACTTCAATGGCCACCTGCCACCGCCACCTGCCACTGCCATCTCCAGTTACAGAGACGGCTCTGACAAAAAGAGTAGTGGCGGTTCTGCCTCAGTAGAGGTGATGACACCCGAACTAGTAGAAGCATGGAAGTAATCATACCCGACTTGACAGAAGCTTAGGAGTGAGTGCGCGAGGTGGATATAAAAGGCTCTCTACCCCCCAAGAACAAGGTATGCAAATTTTGCACTATCTGGTTTTATCTTGCCTTTGAAGGATTCTAACTTAAGCTTCGGAGCCTTTACACAGGGTTCCCCCCAGAGCTTCCTCATCTTCTCCGTTTCAGGTTCCCTGCAATTCAGTTCAGAGGCAATGTCGCTGACAGCTAAGACCGGCTGGATTGCGCACCATCAATTGGCGCCGTCTGTGGGAAACACTTCAAAAAGCCTCCCTCCAAACTCTCATAACCTCTTTTCTTCAAAAAACCCAACACTCATGGCTTCTTCTAGCAACACCGGACGTGGCATGGAGACAAACACCACCGGGGAACAACTTCAAGTCCCCGTGGTGTGCATCAGACAGTTCACCATCCCCCTTTCGGTGGATGGGATCCCCAGCTTGAATGCGCCACAAGCAGTGGCGCCCGTAAACCTTCYTGCCATGAGCATCCCCTTTYCTCYCCCTATYGAGACAACCTTTACTGAACCAACTGTCGTCCCCTGGCAGCCAGCCAAAACCGGTTG